TGATGGGGGGGGGGGGAGAAGGAGAAAAAAGAGGAGACAGAATATCTGTTTGAAGAAGTAATGGCCTGAAACTTCCAAACTCTGAGGAGAGAAATAAACATATAAATTCAAGAAACTCAAAGAACTACAACTAGGATAAATCTGAAAAGAACTAAACCAAGACTGAACTGTCATGCACAAAGGAACTCAGATTATCAGTATAATTCTTAAGAGAAACCTGACAGGCTAGGAGGGAGTGGAATCCTGTATTCAAAGTACTGAAGAAAAAAAACCAATAAAACTGTCAACCAAGAATACTATATTTGTCAAAACTGTCCTTCAAAAATGAAGAGGAAATTAAGGCTTTCCCAGATAAACAAAAGCTAAGGAAGTTCATCACCAATAGACCTATCCTACAAGAAATGCTGAAAAGTGTCCTGCAAGTTGAAGTGAAAGGATGATAAACAGCAACACAAACCACACAAGAATATAAAATTCCCTGGTAAGGTAAATATATAAGATACATGACACGTTAGGTCCCCCAAAGTGTTCTTAACACATTTAAGAAGACTGAAATTATGCAAACTGTCTTCTCTGACCACAATGGTATTAAACTAGAAATCAATAGCAGAAGAAAAACAGGATAACCCACAAATATGTGGAAATTTTAAAATGCACTCAAAATCTAAGAGTCAAAGAGGAAATCATAAGATAAACTTAAAAAAATCTGGAAACAAAAGAAAATGGAAACACGACCTACCAAAACTTATGAGAGGCAGCAAAAACAGTACTAAGAGGGAAGTTTATATTGATAACCATTTACATTAAAAATAAGAAAGATCTACACCTGAAACTAACACAACATTGTAAATCAACTATGTTCCAATAAAAATTTTAGAAGATACGTAAATAGTATCTTATTGGACTGCTGCTTTTTTCACACAATATTTTTTCTTGGAAACTGAGCAATGCTTTGTACCAAATAAGTACCCAATGTATAAATAAAAAGTGAATGAATAAATGAAAAAAATAAAACTAAGAAAGATCTCAAATAAACAAACCTTACACTTTAATGAACTAGAAAAGAAGAACAAACTAAATCCAAAGTCAGCAGAAGGAAGGAAATAATAAAGATTAGTCCAGAAATAAAGTAGAGAAAGGAGACACAACAGAAAAAAAAAAAATTAAACCATGAAGATTTTTTTTGAGATCAACAAGTGGACAAGCCTTAACTAGACTAAAAACAAAAAAAGACTCAAATTCAGAAATGAAAGAGAAGACATTACAACTGACATCAGAGAAACAAGAATTATAAAATCAAAACTACTATTAACAATTATGAACAATTATATGCCACTGGATAACCTAGAAGAAAGCAGACAACTTCCTAGAAACATACAACATACAACGCTGAACCATAAAGAATTACACAATCTGAACAAAAGTGTATCTAGAGAGAAGCCTGAAGCAGTAATTAAAACCTCCTAACAAAGAAAAGCCCAGGACCAGATGGATTCCTTAGGGAATTCTACCAAACATTTAAAGAAGAATTAATACCAATCCTTCTCAAACTTTTCCAAAGAATCAAAGAAGAGAGGACACTCCCAAACTCATTCTTTGAGGCAAGCATTACCCTGATACCAGAGCTATATAAAGACACACACAAAAAGGAAACTATAGGCCAATTTTCCTGATGAATATTGACACATAAATCCTAAACAAGATGCTGGAAAACAACAGCACATTTAAAGGAACATACATCACAACTAGGTGCAATTTATACTTGGAATGCAAGGAAGTTTCAATATATAAAAACTGATCAATGAAATTTATGACCTTAACAAAATAAAGGAGAAAAAACATATAATCAACTAATACAGAAAAATAATTTGAGAATATCCAACACCCTTTCATGATGAAAACATTCAACAAATTAGGCATACAAGGAAATTATCTCAACATAATAAAACCATATATGAAAAGCCCACAGCTAACATCATCATAGGAAAAGACTGAAATCTTCCCCTAAGATCAAGAATGAGGCAACAATACTGACTTTTGCCACTACTATTCAACATAGTACTGGAAGTTCTAGAAAGAGCAATCAGACAAGAAAAAAATAAGAGGCATAAAAATTGGAAAAGAAATACTACAATTTTCTATGTTCACAGATGAGATGATCTTATATGTAGGAAACCCAAAAGATTCTATACACAACCACACACACAAAAGAAAATAGAGCTAATAATCAAATTCAGCAAGAGTTGCTGGGTATAAAATCAATACACAAAAATCAACTGAATTCCTATACACTAACAATGACAAATCTCAAAATGAACTAAGAAAGCAATCTCATTTAATATAGCACAAAAATGATAAAATACTTAGGAAGAAACTTTACCAAGGAAGTGAAAGATTTTATTTCACTGATGGAAAGACACTGAATACTACAAGCCATTGCTAAAAGAAATGAAGGAAGACCGAACAATAAAAAAATTTACAAAATGGAAAGACAGCCCATGCTTATAGATTGGAAAACTTAATATTATTAAAATGTCCATAGTACTCAATGCAGTCTAAAGACTTGATGCCATCCCTATCAGAATCTCAATGTCACTTTTTTGCAGAAATATTTCTTAAAAGTTCTAAAATTCATGAGATCTCAAGTGACCCCAAATAGCCAAAACAACCTTGAAAAAAGTTAAATGTGGAGGCCTCACACTTACTTGTTCCCAAACATACTATAAAGCAACAGCAATTAAGATTATGTGGTACTGGCATGAAAATAGATATATAGACCAATGGAATAGAATAGAGTGCTCAGAAATAAACCCTTGCAAATATATACAAATGATTTTTGACAAGGTGCCAAGAATACACAAAGAAGAAACACAGTCTCTTCAACAAATGGTGTGGGGAAAACTGAATATCCACATGCAAAAGAATGCAGTTGGAAACTTACCTTATACCATATACAAAAAATAGCTCAAAATGAATTATAGACCTAAATACAAGACCTATACTATTAAAATTCCAGAAGAAAATATAGGGTAAAAGTTTCTGGAATTTGGATTTGACAATGTTTCTTCTGATTTGACAGCAAAAGCATAGGCAACAAAATTTAAAAACAGACAAATGGGACTACACAAAAGTTATAAACTTCCAAAACATATCAACAAATATCAACAGAGTGAAAAACCCATAGAACAGAAGAAAATAATTGCATATTGTATATCTAAGAAGCAGTTAATATCAAGAATATGCAAGGAACTTCTACAGTCAAACAATAATAAACAAATAACCCAATTTAAAAATAGGCAAAGGACTTGATTGATTTATATTTCTCTAACAATTAGCAGTAGTGAGCATCTTTTCATGTGCCTATTGGCCATCTGTATGTCTTCTTTGGAAAAATGTCTGTTTAGGTCTTCTGCCCAATTTTTGATTGGGTTGTTTGCTTTTTTGTTATTCAGTTGTATGAGCTGTTTGTATATTTTGGAAATTAAGCCCTTGTCGGTCACATCATTGGCAAATATTTTCCCTCAGTACATAGGTTGTCTGTTCATTTTGTTTATGGTTTCTTTTGCTGAGCAAAATCTTATAAGTTGATTAGGTCCCATTTGTTTATTTTTGCTTTTATTTCTATTGCCTTGGGAGACTGACCTAAGAAAACATTGCTACAATTTATGTCAGAGAATGTTTTGCCTGTGTTCTCTTCTAGGAGTCTTATGGTGTCCTGTCTTATATTTAAGTCTTTAAGCCACTTTGAGTTTATTTTTTGTTTCTGGTGTGATGGAGTGTTCTAACTTCATTGATTTACATGCAGCTGTCCAGCTTTCCCAGCACCACTTGCTGAAGAGACTTTTTTCCCTCCATTGTGTATTTTGCCTTCTTTGTCAGATACTGACTGTAGGTGTGTCTGGGGGGAAATTATTCTTAATTTTCTTATTTATAATAATGGCATTATGACTTTGTAGAAGAATATGCCTACTTTTAAGAGATGCATGCTTAAGTATGTATGGGAGTGAAGTGTTATCCTGTCTGCAGTTTCTTCAAATGGTTCAGCTCAAAATATAGAGTGAGCAAATATGGCAAAATGTTAACAATTATTGAATCTAGGTAGTAATTATATGGGTGTTTGTGACGGTTCATTTTATGTATCAACTTGACTGGGCTACAGGGTGCCCAGATATTTGGTCAAACATTATTCTGGGTTTTTCTGAGAATGTTTCTGAATGAGATGAGAAAATCTTTTTTCTCCATACCTGTCAATAAGGACCACCACTAGTGGTTTGCTTAAACTGGCAAAGCCAATAATATACCTTCACTGTCATGCCTTAGGGGTATATCAGCTCTCCAGCCCTATATCATAATTTAGTTGACAAGGATCTTGATCACCTTTCCCTTCTATAAGATATCACACTGGCCAATTACATTGATGACGTTATGCTGATTGGACCTACTGAGCAAGAAGTAGCAACTTATTGGTAAGACATTTGCATGTTAAAGGATGGGAAAGAAATCTACCAAAAATTCAGGGGCCTTCTACTTCAGTGAAACTTCTAGGGCTCAAGTGGTGTGGGCATGTCAAGATCTCCCTTTAAGGTAAAGGATAAGTTATTGCTCTGGCACCTCTTACAACCAAAAACCTGGCACAACACATAGTAGTCCTCTTTGGATTTTGGAGGTAACATATTCCTCATGTGATGTGTTACTCCAACCCATTTACTGAGTGATCTGAAAAGGCACTAATTTTGAGTGGGGCCCAGAACAAGAGAAGGCTCTGCATCGGTCCAGGCTGCCATGCAAGCTGCTCTGCCATTCGGGCCACAGGATCCAGCAGATCCGATGGGGCTTAGACTGTCATGGCAGGTAGGGATGCTGCATGGAGCCTTTGGTGGCCCCTGTAGGTGAATCATAAGTCAGGCTCTTAGGATTTTGGAGAAAAATTCTGTCATCCTCTGCAAATAACTACTTTCCTTTTAAGTAATAACTCTTGGCCTGCTACGGGGCCTGAGTAAAAGGCTTAACGGTGGGCCACAAAGTTACCATGTGACCTGAATTACCTGTCATGAGCTGGGTGTCATCTGACCCACCAAGCCATAAGATTGGGTGAGCACAGCAGCACTCTGTCATCAAATGAAGGTGGTACATATGAAATTGGGCCTGAGCAGGCCCTGAAGGCACAATAAATTACATGAAGTGGTGGCCAAATGCCTGTGGTTTCCCACTCTTGCTGCACTACCTTCTCTCCCCCAGCCTGCACCTGTGGCCACATGGGGAGTTCCCTATGATCAATTGACACAAGAAGGGGAGACTTAGGCCTGATTTACAGGTGGCTCTGCATAATCTGTAGGGACCACATTAAAGTAGACAACTGCAACACTACAGCTTCTGTCTGGGACATCCCTGAAGGAAAGTAGTGAAGGGAAATCCTCCCACTGGGCAGAACTTTGAGCAGTGTACTACCACTCCACAGGGAAGGAAAGGAAGAGAATGTCTAGAATATAGGCCATCCCTTAGGGCATCTCTTAGTATTGCCATGCCTTGTGATAAATGTCAATGGAAAACTCCAACAACCTGGTCTAGGCAGAACTACTAATGGCCCAGACCCTTCAGAAATGAAGATTTGGATTACCCCAGCAAGTAAAGGACCAGGACCAGCTGATTTGCTTGCTGAAGGCAAACATAATAAAAAAAATGTAATGGAAGAAAGCAGTGATAAATACCAGCTGTGACCATATGATGACTTATAGAAATGAGGATTATAATTGTCATGTGTATTTCCTCCTTATTTGGTTATGAATATGTTCACATGGGTGTATGTGTATATGTATATGTATATATATATATATATATATATATATATATATATATATGGCAAATGAAGCATATTTTCTTAGATCCAATTTACTAATAAAGCCCGATTCATACGAAATCCAGTCATCCTGAGAACATGATCCTGTAACCCTCTGTATGGTATTCACACAGAATTACAGTAACAGGTAGATGTTATTCACTTTGGGAATGCTTTCATTTCTTATTTCTTCAAGCAGAGGAAGGGTATGTTTGTGTAAATCAAATCATGGATTCACGTCTCACCTCTCTTTTGTTTCTTCTTCTCTTCCTCTTCCCCTGCTGTTCCCTGACCCTCACTAATTCCAGCTTCTTGTTTGGGTGAATTTTCTAGATGTAAAAACAAAGTCCAAAAGCATTAACATCACTTCATTACGTTGAAAAATTACCCTTGAGGAACCTCAAACACATATGAGGTATTTTACCAACAAATGAGTGTAACATTTATAAAGCAAACGATTATACTGCTAGATGCCTATCAAGCCTAATTCTGAAGTCATTATGGTAAGTATATGGTGATAGAAGACAAAACAAAGTCTTTGATATGTGAGGATCACAATTTTTTAAGCCACATTAAAGGAGCACAGAACACTCAAGACTCCACAGGAATATTTAGCATCTAAGCGTACTAGTTCTGTTAACAGGAAGTCTGGTCCTGAATATGAAGATATGTCCTAGGCAAGTCATGTTCAGGGCCCACCATGTAGACTGTTACATCAGATTTGAGGGTTCTTATCCAATCACGGACAGCGACTATGTTGTCTCAGGGGCTGTGTCTCATGGAAACTATCTGAAAATCAAAGCAGCAAATAGTGGGATAACACTGGGCATACGTGACAGGACTTTCCAGCCCAGGATTTCCCTTCTCCCTGCTACTGCCTTCATTTTTAACAATCTTGTAAGAGAGGCCGTCAATTTTAGCTAATTGAGGAAATCGGTTCCTCTGTAGTTTCCTTACCTCTGTCAACAGCAACTCCATTCTTCTAGTTGCTTTGGTCAAAAATTTAGCTGCCCCTTTTTCTCACATCCCACATTCAACACATCAGGAGACCCTGTCAGCTCTACCTTCAAAACGTATCTAGAATCTGACCACTTTTCACATCTCCACTGCTACCATTCTAGTCGTCATCATCCTGACCAGATTAGTGCAGGAGCCACCTATTTGGTCTCCCTGCTTTGCTGCCTAAGCCTCTCTTCAGTCTATTCTTAACATAGCAGCCAGAGACACTGCTGAAACAGAAGTCAGACCACATCACTCTTCTGCTCAAACTGCTCCAATAGCTCATCTCACTCAGAGTGAAAGCTGAGACCTAGCCTTTAAGCCATGGTCCTTCACTACGTCTCCGACTTCATCTCCCACCCTTCTCCCCTTCCAGAAACAAAGGCCTCCTTCCTGTTTTTTAAATATGCTGTAAGCGGTAAGTGTTTGCCTCAGGGCCTTTGCACTGGCTGCACCATCTTCTTGGAATGTTGTTCTCCCAGATATCCAAAGGACTCTCTCCCTCACTTATTTTAGGTCTTTGTTCAAATGCCATCTTTTCAGCAAAATCTTTCAGGGCTACTACCTAAAATTTCAAATTCCCTCCCCAACAATTCTTATCTCTCCATTCCCTGCTTATCCTAATTTAATGTACTTATTTCATTTGTCTTGTTTTACTAATTTTGTCTCTCCCTCTAGAATATAATTTCCAAAGAGTAGGTCTTTTGTTTACTGCTTTATTCTCAGCATCCAATAAGAGTGTACAGCATATAGTATGCTTACAAGAAGTAATCTGTTGGACTTCTCTGGTGGCAGTGGTTAAGAATCCGCCTGCTAATGCAGGGGACACGGCTTCGAGTCCTGGTCCAGGAAGATCCCACATGCTGTGGAGCAGCTAAGCCCGTGTGCCACAACTACTGAGCCTGCGCTTTAGAGCCCGCGAGCCATAACTACTGAGCCCGTGTGCCACAACCACTGAAGCCCGTGCGCCTAGAGCCTGTGCTCCGCAACAAGAGAAGCCACCGCAATGAGAAGCCCATGAGCCACAGCAAAGAGTAGCCCTGCTAACTACAACTAGAGAAAGCCTGTGTGCAGCAACAAAGACCCAACGCAGCCAAAAATAAAAAGAATTTGTTAAATGAATGAAAGAAAATATATGCCCCTAAATCATTTACTCTTCTTTATATAAGTTAATACTCTGACCTATCCTGTCTCAGAGATAAGACACATGAAGCAGTCTGTGATTTTTTTTTTTTTTTGGTTGTGCTGGGTCTTAGTTGGGGCCAGTGGGCTCCTTAGTTGTGGCCAACAGGCTCCTTGGTTGTGGCATGCAAACTCTTAGTTGCAGCATGCATGTAAAATCTAGTTCCCTGGCCAGGGATCAAACCCGAGTCTCCTGCATTGGGAGGTGAATTCTTACCACTGCAGCACCAGAGAAGTCCCACAGTCCATGATTTTATGTAAGGAATTTTAACCCAAGAACTTAAAACAGTTTTAAAGTTAATAGAATAGATAGATATAATTCTGCAATATCCTACTAAACAAATGCACGTTGCATTTGTTTCAGGTATATAGGCTTTGATGAAAGAGGAAAAAAAATGTTCATACCTACAGTAAGTTTTGCAAACTCATTTGGAAAATTCTTCTCTAACCATTGTCTACATTTAGCAACATCAGGCATATATTCACAGTACTGGAGGAGGAAAAAGAAGAAACTGAGTCACTACAGTACATTTTTAATCATCTTAATTAAAAATCATTCCCTGTGCTTGCTATATATAGAATCATAAAACCAACTATTCCCACCTGACATCTTATCCACAGGAAATCTGTATTCAAACAGGAAATGTCCCATAAGAAATAAAAAATTAAAAGACACCTCCTCACTGTAGCAATTTATTTCCTCTCCAACAAACAGAAAGGCCATTAGAAAAAGGAGGAAACAGACAAAAACGAGCAGGTGTTTTTCTTGCTTTGGACACATAGGTGTCTCATTTTCATGACCTGCCCGCAGAGCCTGACTTAGAAGCTTATCAACAGAAAGTCTTACACATAATTTATGCTTTCTCTTCTCTGTTTGGATGTTAAATTTTGGCTTTAAGGTTACTCTTGTTTTATTAGCTGACTGTTCATGAGTTCCACGCAAAAATCCAAACTATGTATACCCAACTGCAAAAGACGCACACATATAACTCAAAGTCTAAAGAAAAATTTGTAGGACCATAAAATTATTCTAAACCAAAGTTCTCTATAAAAGGTTGAAACTCAAAAAAAAAAAGGTTGAAACTCTGCCATCAAATAATAGAAAATGAAAAGTAACAAGTTCCCAAGCTAGCTCTAAAATCAATGACCTCAAATGCAGAAGTTAAAAAAGAAAAAGAATTTTAGAAGGACTTACCTCTGTTGGTAATGAACAGACTGGGGATGGAGAGAAAAAAAGATTTGAAAATGTAAATAAATAAATAAATACACACGTACACACAAACACACACACACACACACGGCTCATAACTTTTATTTTTAATCTGACAAAATGTTTCATTTGTTTTTTCCTATAACTTTCCTGTATCACTTTTCAAATACTACCCCGTCATGCACTTTTTTTTTTGAGGTAAGCGGCACATGATTAATAGAAATATTATCTTAATTTTTTTTTTTGGGGGGGATGTGAAGAACAATGTCTCCTTCAGTTGGCAGAACATCAAACTATACTATCTGGCATGTCTTAAGGTTTTACCACAACAACCTCAATGGGTCTGAAACTAAGCTAGGATGGGAACAATTCCCCATACAACAAAGGTTGAATGGAGCTGGTTATTTCTTTTGATAACTTCACCAAAACAGCCGCTACTTTTAATTCATACTAACACAGTTACAGACTTCAGTAGCACTTTTGCTACCGTTTCTTTGCAATATACTTTTCCTTTTCTTTTTTCGTATTATGCTACATAAGACCATGACACTGTGAATTTCCTTCCTTAGAAGGAGGGTTGGTTCAATCCTGTCACTGTATAGCCTGCAAAGGCTAAAGGACTAGAAAAACTCAGAGGCTTTCCTAATTTTAACTAAAACTCTATTACTGCGTCAACTGCTTATTTTATTTTTAAGGTGAGGAATGGAATAGTTCAGTGTGACGACACCTTGAGATTTGTGAAGGAGAGGAGGGGTGGTACACCATTAATAATAACAGCACTTACCATATATTGGGCACATGCCAGGCACTTTGCTATGCTTTATATTATTATGTTCAATCATCACAACCTTATAAGGTAAGAACTACCATACGTGTATTATGAATGAGAAAAATGAGACTTAGAACAAGTAACTCATTTGTATCTGGTTTGAACAGGATTTGAACCCTGGTCTGTTTCTGAAGGTCATGCTCTTAAGCACTAAATTAGACCACACAACATATAAAAGCAGTGCAGGGCTTCCCTGGTGGCGCAGTGGTTGAGAGTCTGCCTGCTACTGCAGGGGACACGGGTTTGAGCCCTGGTCTGGGAAGATCCCACATGCCACAGAGCAACTGGCCCTGTGAGCCACAACTACTGAGCCTGTGCATCTGGAGCCTGTGCTCCGCAACAAGAGAGGCCGCGATGGTGAGAGGCCCGCGCACCGCGATGAGGAGTGGCCCCCGCTTGCCGCAGCTGGAGAAAGCCCTCGCACAGAAATGAAGCCCCAACACAGCCAAAAATAAATAAATTAATTTAAAAAAAAAAAAAAAAAAAAAAAAAAAAAAAAAAAAAAAAAAAAAAAAAAAAAAAAAACCAGTGCAGCTGTGTGCCAGCCCATCATCACTCTTTTACAGATGAAGCCGAAAATGGTTAAATAGCTTATCCAAGGCCAAAGGTGGCATAGGGCAGAAAACTAGAATCTACCATCTCTATTTCAGTTTAGAGTTCTTTATACTAAAGCTCTCCTGGTTAACCAGAAGCTCTCTAATCCTCACAGTTCAAGTTCAAATACTAGGAGGTACAAATATTCAGCCACACTTTCAGGATATAATTATAGGTTAAATACCATTACAGCAAATACTAAAACCATAACACTTAGTACACCATTTCAAATAATATTTGGTTCAGCAAAATTCTAATACGATGAAAAAAGTTGGACAAATATTCCCAATTCCACATTATTTGTTTTTACAGTCTATTTCCCTCTACAAATGATTTACTATTTGTAAACTGTAGCTTTTCAAGGAAAAGACCAAGCAGTCACCAGCTTCACATCACTAACAGTGGAACAACCTGACATTATGTATCTGCTGACATGATGAGATATGATGAACAAAGCCACATCATCCATGAGACCTTCTGCTATGGTCTGAATGTTTGTGTCCCCTCAAAATTCACATGTTGAAATCCTAATGCCCAATGTGATGACATTAGGAGATGGAGACTTTGGGAGTAATATTTCATTTATTCTTCTCAACAGCCCTCTGAAGTAGGCTGTTATCCATTTTATGGATGAGGAAACTGACCAAGGTCACCAATGAGTAAATGGCTAAGCCAGGATTCAAACTCAGACTGAATTCATATTCTGAAGTCTCAATCCTGCAGACATATATCTCCCCGGAAATGACCCCATCCTACCTACCCTTGTTTCTCACTATACTTCAACCAGCATTCTGCTCCAATCAGCCCCTTCTTTTCCCTCTACCCCCTATCTTTTCCATCTTTAATATGAAGATACCATATTAAACCATGCCCCCATATTTTTCTTATAAATTCATCCACCTTTCCTTGCAAATTCTGCCCATTACCTAAGGCTTCTCACTTCCTCACTGCTTTCCCAGCTTCCCTCTGAACAAAGATCCCTCCCTTTCCTGAAACCCTAATTCATAGCTATGGTCAGTACCACTGAATTTAAGCATTTAATATTCCCTAAGTGCTTCTCCTACAACTAGACCTTAAACTCTTTGAGGAAAAGGTAATCCTGTCTCCAACCTAGTGCCTGGAATATCAATACAAACTAGGGAGGGAAATAAAAATAAACTTTTCTCAAAAAAGGTTAGGTACCTCTGATCAACACAAAGTATCACTGGGGTGGACTGCATACTTAGTGCAGTTGTTCAAAGCCATCTTAGGAGTGACATAAGCACTTGAACAGGATGGCTTTCATACACTGTATTTCATTCATTCTAATTTTTTTTCATTTTTATAGGGATGCATTCCATAATTATGGCATGTCAACCTAACAATTTTTTCTTTCTTAGTGGAACCTAAAATAATGGTGAATCTTATAACATATGGAGTCTTAGATTCGGTGAATTAGGGTACAAAGAACAATAGCTCCTAACTATTTTTGACAAACAAGGAGGAATAAACTAAACTAGTATACTTCCCTAATAATAGTAATAATAGCACTTATTGTATTATGTTCTTATGTTAGTTGCTGAACCAGCTTTATAGGAATCATCTGACTTCAGATGTAATCATCATTTTCATTCAGACCTTAAGAAACAGACCTCTAACCCTTAGTGAAATCAGGTAACTTGCCCAAGGTCACACAGCTAAAATTAAGCAGGAGCAGCTGGTAATGCTCAAGGTAAGGATGCAAACCCTGACCCATGACTCCAAAGGCAAACAATATAACCAAATAAGATGAATATCATAACAAATCTCAGTCAAACTACAAAAAGTTCCCCTGCCTACTCTCTGGGATATTTTACACTCATTTTATTTTATCATCAAAGGCAGTCAATAAATGATGAGTTGATACAATTTTTTAACTCAGTGACATCACCTCTCCTGTAAGTACTGTAAGTACTTAAATTCCAGAAGAAATCCCTATCATACTCACAGGATGTAAGGTCCCTAAGCACAAAGACCTTTCCTGACTTATTCATTATTCAGTCCCCAGCATCTAAAACTCTGCTAGGCACATAGTAAGTGGCCAAAAATATTTACTAAAAAAAAAATAATATTTATTTGCCCTTTTACTTTACTGTCTTATATCTTCAGATTTTTCTAAACCTTTCCAAGATGCTAGTAAAATTAAGAGTATTTCCAGTTCACAAATATTTCTGGATTGAAAATGAGGAAACACTCAAAGGGAAAAAAATCCTGATTTACATTTTATTAATCAAACCAAGAACACTTTCCCAAGACTGTCCTACTACCCATCACTCCAACCTCATAATCTTCCACTCATTACTGACACCATTCCTATACTACACACTATACTAATAATAAGATGTTTATTTCTCCACAGACAAAGCTTTTCCTTGCACAGCTGTTCACTTCATCCGGGATGCCTTTCCTCACTTCCTCAACCAATCCTTCTCATCCCTTAAGATTCAATATATTCCAAGAAGCCCACCTTTAACAGCCAGACTAGCAAGTAACATTAGGCTTGAATAATCTATTTACACATCTCTATTCCAACTGGACTGTAAACTTCTCTAGGCCAAGGAACAAGACGCAAGTCACACAGGTTGGGAAAGGTCTGTTAATCCATGCCTCCTCTTCCCCAGCTCCCCAATTAAAGATTCACCAAATGACAAAGATGAAAAAACTACTAGGACCAAATGTGAAACATTTATCACAATGCATAAAAATACAGTGAGTAAAAGCCATTTTCTGCCTTCCAACACTTGCCTCCGCAGTAAAGGACTCGAAGTGGGTAATCTGCATCTAACTTGGTATTGCTCCTCGGGTCTCCTTTGCAATCATGCCCACCGGATTCGGAAATGTCAGCAGCCATTTCAAAACCTGTAAGCAAGGAAAATAACACATCTTCACTATTTTGGACCAAGACGCCCAGAGAAGCAGTGTTCAGGTGTAGTCTGGCCTCCTCCTACTAGAAATCCCCCCATCCCGAATCTGTTTCAATTCTTTGCTGAATGAGAGACACAAGCTGCATTAGGATTCATAAAATATGAGTAATTCTGGGCACACCATTTTCCAGGTCTACAGGGAAGCAAGTGACAACAGTGAGACTCACAGCAAATGGACCATGACAACTAGGGGGAGGAGGGCACTAGTGGAAGAGGAAGCAATGGGGAAAAAGATGGGGAAAGGTGAACTCGGTAGGGACAGGGCAAAAGGTCTGGGGGATGATCTGTAAAGGATGCAACAAACTGCAGCAACAGGGAAAGGCCACAAAGCAGCTGAAGAGGCTGGAAACGCCTACGAAGAAGGGGTGGGTCGCCGGAGGTGCCCGGAGGGCAGGGTGTGGGGTGGGCTAGAGGCCAAGGGAGGGACGCGTTAGAGTCACGGAAGGGAAAGGGAGTGGGAGGGGGCGGGGAGACCAGAGTCTGAGAAGAGAAAATGCGGGCAAAAGAACCAGGAAGGGGCAGAATGTAAGAGGACTGAGGCGACGACAAGGGCGGCCAGGTGTGAGGGCGCGACCTGAGGCGAAGGGGCAACCCCGGAGACACCACAGCGGCCGATGTGGGCGGGGGTGTGGAGACGCCCGGCCCGGCCCCCTTCCGACGGGGAGCACCTCAGCTTCCCCCACGCTCTCTACGAGCTTCCTGGTAAGCGTGAGAGGCACAAGGGGTCATTACCCAGGCGGTCGCACAGCCTCCGCCGCCTCCGCGCCCACCACTACCGCCAGCTGAAACGACACATGCGACTCCTCTTCCCGGCCAGAGCCGCCCAAGAGCCCGTCTGCCAGCCGCGGTCCCGCGAGATAATAAACCTTTATCGCGAGATTCAGTTTCCGCGGAGCGGCTGTCGCGAGAAGCTCGAAGGCGGGGGCGGAGAGGAATTAGGGAGCATGCGCATTCCGCTCAGGGGCGGAGCCAAGCAGCCTAGAGGCTGACAGCCAGTAGGCGGTGCTAGTTACCTATGGGAGAGACTGGGTGGTCCGTGGTCGGCGACCAGAAGAGGACGCTGTTTAGAGAGCGGAGACGTGCATCTAAATCAGCGGTGACTCATTCTTTTGACTCGGAGAACGTGGCCCCCGGGGTCTGGGGTGCATCCTGGAGCCTTGACTAACCTCCAGCCTGTTGGATAAGTCTTTCCTTCACGGGGAGATTGCAGCTGGAAAAGGCGTTTGGTTTTATTTCAACACAGTACCCTACATTGGCGGAATTCTTTTTAAAAAGACAATATCGGGCTTCCCTGGTGGCGCAGTGCTTGAGAGTCCGCTTGCCGATGCAGGAGACGCGGGTTCGTGCCCCGTTTCGGGAAGATCCCACATGCCGCGGAGCGGCTGGGCCCGTGAGCCATGGCCACTGAGCCTGCGCGTCCGGAGCCTGTGCTCCGCAAATGGGAGAGGCCACAACAGTGAGAGGCCCGCATAACGCAAGGAAAAAAAAAAAAAAAAAAAAGACAATATCAACGCAATTTACATTTTTCTCATCGCCCCACAGTCTCACCACCCTAACAACTGTTTTCACAGCTTCCTAGTGTTTATCGATCTTTATATGTGTTGTAAATTGGAATTAATCTCTCCCATGTGAGTGTTGACTAAAAAATTATGTACAACCTAAAAGTTGAGATTCATGTTTTATTCGGCAGGAATTTTTAGGACTTCAAGCCCGGTAGGCATCATCTCAAGTAACCCTGAGAGAACTGCTGCAAGGAGAAAAGGGGGCAAGCCAGCATATATAGGAGTTTTACAACCAAGGGCAAGTAGTCTGAACATCAAAAGATTATTGTTAATTACAGAAAACCAGGTATGTCAAGTTTAGGAATTTAGCGCTTTTCTATGTATGAGAAGATGCAAGAGTCAGGGCTCACTGAAATCATTCCTTTGATAGGCACCTCAGCTATCTGGGGCCAGTATCCTGTGTTTTCACATCCTGAGTTTCCTCAGGGCTCACCTAGGGAGTGGCTGCAGTCTGATGGCCGCTAGACAGCAGGTAGGCAGGTGTTCTTTTTCTTCCTGAGTTCCCTCTGGGTTCACCAGCTCACCGTCTGGTGGTGGCTGCAATCGCTGATGACTGTGACAGCCTTTGTTTAAATACTCCATTTATCAAAGACTTCAGAGAAGAGGCCACAGTCTCCTGTGCAGATTATGCCGGATGGCTTCGTGTGCAGTTTTGAGCAGAAAATTTAAGGGTGGTAGTGGTGGTGGCAGAGAAGTTTGCAAAGGAAGGAGGGGAATGAGGCAGATATGAGTGGAGGATAAAGCAAAATAGAAAAGAACAACCTCCACCATCTACAAAACTCTTTTTGGTCACCGTTTCCCTAACTCTCATAGCTCTACAAGTGTTGTAGTGTTATTCCCGTTTCTCAAATGGGACTCAGGCTGAGGATGGATATGAAGGGGTTTTCCCAAAATGAAACAACTAAATGGAAGCAAAGCTAAGACACACCATGTGTGAAAACCTGATGATAAATGGAATATTGCCTGTCACATCAGTAAAGAAAGGCTGTCACAGTCATCAGCGATTGCAGCCACCACCAGACGGTGAGCTGGTGAACCCAGAGGGAACTCAGGAAGAAAAAGAACACCTGCCTACCTGCTGTCTAGCGGCCATCAGACTGCAGCCACTCCCTAGGTGAGCCCTGAGGAAACTCAGGATGTGAAAACACAGGATACTGGCCCCAGATAGCTGAGGTGCCTATCAAAGGAATGATTTCAGTGAGCCCTGACTCTTGCATCTTCTCATACATAGAAAAGCGCTAAATTCCTAAACTTGACATACCTGGTTTTCTTTAATTAACAATAATCTTTTGATGTTCAGACTACCTGCCCTTTGTTACAAAACTTGTGTATAGGGGGGCTTCCCTGGTGGCGCAGTGGTTGAGAGTCCGCCTGCCGATGCAGGGGACACGGGTTCGTGGCCCGGTCCAGGAGGATCCCACATGCCTCGGAGCGGCTGGGCCCGTGAGCCATGGCTGCTGAGCCTGCGCGTCCGGAGCCTGTGCTCCGCAACGGGAGAGGCCACAACAGTGAGAGGCCCGCGTACCGCAAAAAAAACACAAAACTTCTGTGTAACCTGGCTCCCCCCCTTACCTTCTCGAGCAGTTTCTCAGAGCTATCTGAAACGCTGTCTCCTGGGCTAAAGTCCTCATTTTGCTCCCAATAATACTTAACTCGCAACTCTCACGTTGTGCAATTTTTAAGTCAACATCTTTCTTAAATAAAAGAGGGGGTTTCCCCCTCTCACAAAAGAGAGTCAATTCTAAATGACATTAGTGAAAGATCTTCCAGAGCCTGATTCCAGTAATAATATCTTCCATTTATTGATACCTCCCACTATGTGTCAAGAACCTGCTCATTTGGGGATAGAGTCCAGGTGGATTCATTTCACAAAACTTTCTTGGGTTCTTACTATGTGCCACGCACTGTGCTAGGCACTGGGGAATACAGTGAACAAGAGACAAAACCCCCAATCTCACTGAACTTACCAGTCTTAGTTACAAAATCCCTACAAAGTAAGGATTGTCTGTAATTCCCAGGTGGATGGTAAAATGGAAGCTCAAAGATGGGATGAATTAAGTTCACCTATTCTTAAGATCACACAGGTAACAGCATGTTATTGATCTTAAGACACACATTTTTCACATTTTCACATCTCTCATATTGTCACTGAGTCCAAGCTCGCTCCGCTTGCCACAGGACAGGCCAATAAGTCGGAGACGAGGTGTTGAGGCAGGGAATACGACTTTATCCCGAAAGCAGGCAGACCGAGAAGACAGCAGACTACTGTCTCAAAATAACCGCCTTATCGGGGTTTGGATGCCAGTTTATTTTATAGAACAGAGAGGGGGGAGGAGATGAGGAAGTAAAGTGAAAAGGCCATAAGATTTGCAAATGTCCCCTGGAATGGCCAGCCTGAGGAGGGGATGTGTTCATTTCTTCTTCCTTGCAGCCCTCTAGAGGTGGACTGGGGCGGATATTTCCCTGAACAAAGGCACTTTGGTTTAACATTCAAGCAAAGGGGCAGGGTTCCTTGAGGCAGGCCATTGTGTATAGATAGTATCCTTTTAGTGAACAAAAGCAGCAGAAAGCAAAGGTTAAAGTAAAAGAAACAGGTTCAACATGTAGTCAGATTTGGCTCTTCCCTGTTACAATATCAAGATGGTTCGCAATGGATGGAGTCTTAGCATTGTGGCATAGTTTAATTTGGCAGCATTTTTCTCTCTTAGTGATGCATAAAATAATGCTGCATCTTACAACCAACGTCATCTTAGATGTGATGAAATATGGATAAGTGGCCAGTCCTGTGGAGTAGACCCAATGTCCTCAGTTCTTTCCCTCACCCTTTTCCTGCTCTGCTTTGTAGGGAAGAGGGTGGTGATCCCTATGAGTGAATGCCCAGGCTTTCCTGTTCCTGAGCTTCCATCTAGATTAAGCCAATGGGAAACAGCAGTGAGACCACCCCCACCCCTTTGAGCAGCCTCTCTGGCAGTAGCTAGCTGGTTGTCCCCCTGCATTGTTTAGGGATCCCAGCCCCTGGGCTCCTGTAACATAATGCCCTTCCTGGATCTAGTCTCTAGCCTACCAGTGGCGACTGATGGCTTCTTGCTACTGCTAATCTCCGAGTTGCCTCACCACCTCTGTTTAGCTTTTCAACAGTTCCATTCCCCGTGTTACCAATCCCCTGAATGAAATTCTCCTCTGCTTTAAATACTTAGATGGGGTTCTGTTTTCTCGGTGGACTCTGCCTGACATTGCTGGCATTCAAACCCAGAGCTACACTTCCACGTCACACTAGCGCACACGTCACAACCTGTCAGCAATCAGGTACTAAAAGGAGGAATGACCCATTAAATAAATATAACAGTGGTTTCTCATCAGGAAGCCACAGACCCCGAGAGGCAGTAGAATTATTGCAAAAAGAATACAGGAATCCAGTTGAGGACCTAGGAGTGTCAGGAAATTGACTAAATATCTTTCAGGCTTAAGTATTACTATTTTTCTAGAGTAAGTTACGGTTTTGTTCCAATGAAAGTCCAAAAGTTGAATCTGATTGGCTTTTTTCCAATCGTGTCCATTCCTAAATCAATCACCATAACTAGACAAGCCCTGAGTTAAGTGTCCATTTTCGGAGCTGGGTTTGGAGAGTGGAGACGGGGTACATCCCAAAGGAAATTTGAGGCTCTATAACCAGAAGAGGGAATGATGCTCAAGTATCAAAACCAACAGACGTTTACTCCAGCCATCCTCATACATGTGCTAAAAATTATTTTAAAATCTACTGCCCTAGGGACTTCCCTGGTGGGGCAGTGGTTAAGAATCCGCCTGCCAGGATACAAAATTAATGCACAGAAATCTCTGGCATTCCTATATACTAACGATGAAAAATCTGAAAGTGAAATCAAGAAAACACTCCCATTTGCCATTGCAACAAAAAGAATAAAATATCTAGGAATAAACCTACCTAAGGAGACAAAAGACCTGTATGCAGAAAATTATAAGACACTGATGAAAGAAATTAAAGATGATACAAACAGATGGAGAGATATACCATGTTCTTGGATTGGAAGAATCAACATTGTGAAAATGACTCTACTCCCCAAAGCAATCTATAGATTCAATGCAATCCCTATCAAACTACCACTGGCATTTTTCACAGAACTAGAACAAAAAATTTCACAATTTGTATGGAAACACAAAAGACCCCGAATAGCCAAAGCAATCTTGAGAACAAAAAATGGAGCTGGAGGAATCAGGCTGCCTGACTTCAGACTATACTACAAAGCTACAGTAATCAAGACAGTATGGTACTGGCAC